AAAAAAAAAAAAAAAGAATGTGCGACTGCAGAGCTCACAACAGTATCACTTTTCTGTCTATTGCCCACCTGGGGATTGGCTCTGGGTGGGCGGGGTGGGGGCACATGGATTGGACTCTCCGTCTCTTCACATCTTTGTGCGTCTCACACCCCACGCAATGAAACAAACAAGCAGAGATCGAACGTTCGCACATTAGGCTGCCACGTATACAAACAGCAGACCCATTCCTCAACCAAGCGAGGCAGCAAGCAGCAACATACGGTGGGCAAAGTCGACAGATGGAGGTCGCCTTCACCGTCTCCCCGGGTGAGCGGCAGCACGTGGAGTACCTCGCCGACCTCTTCGCCATCATCATGGCGATCGAGAAGGTTGAGAAGGCGATGCTGCGCGACTTGATTACGCAGGAGCAGTATGACACAGTCATACGCCGTCTGCTCGAGAAGTACACCTCCACAGTGTCGCACCTCGAGCAGAGCCACAACCCGCACTATACCACTATCGAATCCTTCTGGGAGAACTACGGCTCCAAGTGTCCAGCCGCCCGCACACGGATTCAGCTCGGTCTCAACGGCGAGAAGCAGCAGAAGGAGCGAGATGGACGCGTGGACCCGCGTCTGGTGCTGGAGTGTGGGCAGTACTTCATCACGCTAATGGACTGCCTGAAGCTGCAGCAGACGGCGGTGGACCAGTTATACACGCTTCTGACGGATCTCATTCAAGGCCTGACACGGCTGCGGGTGACGGAGCGGGACTTCTTTAGGCCCCTCGTGTCGTGGAAGGAGAAGCTGGACACCATGAGCGCCTCGGACGAGCTCAATGAGAGGGACACGCGTGAGTTCGCCTTTGTGCTGGAGCGGGGCTACCAGGCCTTCCACGCGTACCTCGGCGAGACCACTACGAGGACGAGGGCGTGAGATGGATACACGGGAATGGGGGAAAGCCAAAGCATATATATCTGTGTGAAAAAGAGGTAGAGGGTGTCTATATATATATATATATATATATAT